CAGGGCCCAGAGCAGGGCTCCTTTTCTCAACCAGACCTTGCCAGACTTCCCTGGGGCAGTCCATACAGTAAGCCCCTGGTCTGGCCTCTCCTGGGCTCCCTAGTCCTTCAGGGTTCCCATGTGCTTTCTCACACCTTTTGCTCTCTGAATACCTGGCAAGGGCCCTTCAGAAAACCTGAATAGCCCCTCAAACTGGAGCTTAAGACAAGGGCAATTGAGGAAGGCTGGACAAGGGAGAGGGGAAGTTCAGGGATGAAGTGGAAATGAAGAGAAAAGCAAAACAGGGAGGAAGTGGCATGGGCGAGTTCTTCTGAAGACATGAGATTATTAGTGTTGTCTGGGATTAAAAACGATTATCTACAAATGGTAGCATGCCCCCCCCATTTAATATGCAATTTAAATTCATTTAATTTCATAGTGACTTGTTAACAAAACAGAAGTTGAAGGGCTTTCTATCAACTCCCCTGTTTTCGCCAGCAGCAACACCCTCAATGATGGAGGAGGCTTTTGAAAGAGAAGTTCAGAAACATGTTCAAGGCCACACTGTTGCACGCAGAACCAGAATCCAAACTCAGATTTACTCCAGGTCCATTCTCTGTCCAGCCACCCAAACTGGGCAACAGAATCATCACAGCAGAGATTTTTTTTGTGTGAGTTGGAGTCTCACTCCGTTGCCCAGGCTGGAGTGCAGTGGCACACTCACAGCCACACAGCAACGTTTTAAAAATATGAATTCCCAGTCCCAACCCAAGCCTAAGTCAGAATATCTGAGGCCAAAGTATAAGAATCAGGGTTATCCCAAGCCTCCCCAGTAATACTAGGATGGACACATTGAGGCACTGCTGTCTCTGACTCATGGTTACAAGTCATTACTGGTTTCTTGCACATGTCTTATTTACACAACCAGATCATAAGCCTCTTTGAAGAAGTGTTCAACACAGGGTAGCAAGCACAATTCACACTGCTTGGCACAGCATATATGATTAATATCCATTTGTTAACTGGAATTATGTTTGCTCTGTATTGTTTCTTCATTTTTTTAAAGACGCATTTTCATCTTCATAAAAAGGAGAATTATATTTCAGTAATATTTCCCCTATTAAAAAAATTTACCCAGAAGTCTTTATCTTCATCAAATAAGTAAGAATAAGTAGTCACACAGACTCCCATAAAAACATTTTCATTGTTCCTTTTTTTTTTTTTTAAATATAATTCCCAATTCTTTGGAAAGATGGCCCGTCATCCTAAGTCTCTCCTTTTCATAGCTTTTTGGGGTGAAGTCATTCACAGAAGGGGCTAGATTATCAGTCTTTTCTGATGATCAGTTTCTTTTGCTCATCCTTCTCCACTGAATATAAATAGTCATTATTTTAAGCTGGAATAAAATTATTCTTACACCCTGACTCAAGGAGAGCTTATTTCCATTAAAATTTTCTTTCTAAGCAATAAAAATTGGTTATAGCATAATGGTTCACTCAATATATTCCATGACTACTCGGTTAGTCCAAATGACATGCACACCAAAATTCTTCCCTTTTCCACAGATTCTTGCTAGCAAGGACAAAGCAATTATTTTTGTGTTATTTTTATACCTCCTGGTTTGTTTCGTTCTTGTTTGGAGATTGGTACCCATTGATTGAGTCATGGCCAGATGACTCTGATCTATTCCTGAGAGTTTTGTTTTGTTTTGTTTTTAGAGTACGAGTCTCACTCTGTCACCCAGACTAGAGTACAATGATATGCTCATGGCCACCGCAGCCTCGACCTGCTGGGCTCAGGTGATGCTTCTGCATAAGCCTTTTCAGTAGCTGGAGCTACAGGTGCATACAACACCACACCCAGCTAATTTTTTGTTTTATTGCAGACTATTATTTCACCAAGTTGCCCAGACTGGTCTCGAACCCCTAGGCTCAGGCAATCCTCTCACCTCTGCCTCCCAAAGTGCTGGGATTATAGGCATGAGCTACCACGCCCATCCCTGCAAGGTATTATAAGTACCCTGTAGCCTTAAGTTGAAGCTCATGGGGCCACACTAGGAATCTGGGCCTCCTAGTTCTGGGTGGCTCCATGTCCTGATGGCCTCCAGATGTTACAACAGTGTGGCATGCAGGGCTGGACCAGGCTTGCCTACATACAGGTGGTTACCAAGGCAGAACATTTTGAGGGGCTGTGGCAAAACAGAAGTGCATGGTATTATACCTGGGGTCAGAAGATGTGCGTGACCCTCTCATCACGGCTGGCAACAACAGGAAGGGCATGCAGATAAAACCCACTAATCAAAAAGATTGTCTTTCTCTTAGCCTCTTGTGAACACATACAAAGTCCAAAGGAGGACACAGAACTTTCTTTTCTTTTTCTATCAGGACAAGTCTTAGTTCAGCTGTCCCGTCTATTCCTTTTATTCTTCCTTTGCCTCACCTTTAACATCCCAGCCCCCTCCCTCCACTGTACCTTGCGATCAAGTCATCAGACAGGGCTGACAGACAGGTTCCTGGCTCCATCGCAAGTAGACAAATACGAGTCCTTACATTCATCAGACTAGATCATCTAGAAAGCAACAAATCTTCCTGCTTATACTGATCACCTCTTGCTCCATAACTTAATGATTCATTTCACTAAAAGACCCTCACCCCACCATCCTTGGTCAGATGTTATCAGGGTGCTGTGATCTTAAACAGTACAACAGAAAAAAATTGCACCCTTTAGTCCAGTAGTGGTATAAATGTAAGGGTTTATTTCCACCTTGCCATACCTACTACTTTTAACAATAAAAGTAATCACAGACTGGACACAGTGGCTCACACTTGTAATCCCAGCACTTTGGGAGGCCAAGGCAAAAGGATTGCTTCAGCCCAGGAGTTTGAGTTCAGCCTGGGTAACATAGCAAGACTTTGTCTCTACAAAAAAAAAAAAATCACATTCGCCAGGCATGGTGGTGTGTGCCTGTAGTACCTGAGGCAGAAGGATTACCTGAGACCAGGAAGTTGAGGCTACATTGAGCTGTGATTGTGCCACTGCACTCCAACCTGGGCAAGAGTGACATTCTGACTCAAAAATAAATAAATAAAAATAATCACAATAGCAACTGGCATTTACTGAGTACTTACTTTGTTTCTGACACTGTTTTAAGTCCTCTACATTTATCACATTTTTTAAACCTCATAATAATACTTTGAAATAAATTTTATGATTACACAACTTTATTGAAAAAAAAATTGAATGAAGAGGTTAGTTTCCGCGAAGTCACAGAAAGTGGTGGCACTAGGATTTGAACCAGGAAGTTGGAACCCTTAGCCCGTGTTCTTAACCACTATATCTGACTGCCATAAGACTATATGTAGTCAGTCAATACTTTTTAAACATGTTCTATGGAAGTTGTCCATTTGTGAATCCAATTCCAGGAGCTGTGTTAGGTAACTGAAGTTTTTAGGCTGTGAGCGTCAGAGATGTCATCAGGCCTTGGTGCAATACAGCCAGGATAGTGCAGATAAAACAAGATGGAGCCAAAGGGATGAATAAAATGATGTATTGTGTTGCAAAAATCATACATTTCTTGGAATAAAGATCATTTATTACTGAAAATAAGATTATCCACTGTGTAAGTATAAAGGGGGAAATAAGAACAAACAGGAAAGAAACGGGTAATTTTTTTAAAAGAGTTGTTGCACCAGATCCTTGGTAGCTTCTGACATGATTGTACAACAAACCCTGATAACAAATGATTTTTTGTTTCATCCTGTCAACAGATCAAAAATAATTTTCCAGTAAATATCAATTTCAGATTTTAAAAATGTTCTCATAGTATCCATTTCAAGAAAAAGGGTATGCAGTACAAATGCTTTTTGAGTACAAAAATGGGTAAGTAAAATATCTTGTGTTTATTTCATTAACTGATGGCATAAAGTGTATGTTTAATTTTCTAGTAAACCCAAATGTTTTTGATCAGCCAGAACAACATACTCACACTACATTTTTCAGTTGATTTACACAATATATTTATATCCAATCAAAGATATGCTTTTGAAACTTATTTATTTCTCACTTTCTCTTATGTCATTTACTGTGTGCCTTACTTTTTGTGCTGAAACAAGGCAGGTTCCAAATATTCTAAATACCTAATTTCCTACTGTAGTAGCAAAGGCCACACATCTATCAGATTTCCTCCAAATTAATCAGTAGGGTTCGGAAGGATCCCCCACCCCCACCCTGCCCCAGGAACAAAGCCAACGAAGCTCATATAATAACATATAACTATACCTCTCCTTTGTTCCACACTCAAATTTCACTCCTCTAGTAGAGGGATTTGTGCAGAGGAAGTGCTCCACAGACATTAATTAAATCAATTTATTAGGCTCTCTCTTTTGACCCCCATCTCCAACCCCACCATACACACGTAACCACTGTTTATGTTTTCACCAGCAAACACTACACAGCACCTAGCTTTGAAGCCCACGCGCATCGCTGTCCCTTGGGAAATGGAGTCCAAGTCTAATCACCTGAGCAAAATGTCTTTTATTGAAAAGAGTGATCACCTGGTTCCCTGCAACACAAAATTCACTGAATTCCTCAGGCTTCCACAGGAATCTGTAAAAGTGACTGACGCGTCGTGAACCTCATTGGCACAGTGAACTTGTTCCAGTGACAAAGCTTCTTTTGTGAGAAGATGTGTGTACATAGCTGACTTCTCTTGCTTTCTGTTGATTCTCCTCCCTGCTAGCCACCCACCATTAACCCCATTCAAGTCGAAGCACCCGGCCATGGGACTGAGACAAGTTCGTCCCTTTCTAGCTGCTATCCCTACACCTGCTTGCCTTGAAGTTGCTTCCATTTCTGCCACAGAAAGTGGGCCCCAGGACTGGGGTCCCTGATCAGATAATCATCTATTGCCTAAAGAAGTGCGCTTTTAAGTGTTTTTTTTTTTTTAGTGTTCTTCACCCTGAACACTCCCAGGAAAGTGAGATGCTCAAGGTGTTAGTAGTTGCTCTTGGAACATCATTTCTCTAGTTCTGTTCAGAGTTCAGCTGGTTGAGTTGCTTTACAATCATGTTGTTGATTTTCTTAAGATCATCTATGTCCTTTCCCTCAGCGGTTAGTCTTCTTGACACATCATCCATCTTGTTTCCTGTTTGAACTTCAAAATGGAAAACAGATAGCGTTATGCTGGTTCCCAGTAGTGTTCCTCTGGGACTCATCCAAGCCCCGTGTGGGTACTCAGCTAAGGGCTGAAAGCCACTCTCAGCAAATCCCGTTCCAATGTCCATGCATCCCAGAAGAACAACAGAGACACTGGCAAAGACTGAAGCTGCCTATCAAGTGAATCATTTTTACAATTTCTTGCTGCCAGCCTAGACAACGTTTGGTTGCTCCACACAGATTTGGCCTGAGAAAGACATTGTTGTGAACAACCACAGGAAACTTCCCGTGTGACTGATTGTCTCCCCAGAAATGATTGCTACGTTGTCTCATTTTGAGACCCATTCTCAGAAGAGGCTTTTCTCTCCTCATTTGAAAAACGACATTTTGGATTCCAGCATATTTTGACACCTCTGCTGGTTCTGAATTACCAGCCCATAATGGATGTGTAATAATTCCCCCTCAGACCATTTCTGAGAATAGAGGTGCAATGTTTGTCAAATAAACAGAATGCCTGGCAACACAGGAAGCTAGGAATGGAACATTTGGAGGGTCTGTTTATTAGAGTTAAAATTTCTAAGAAATGCAGCATAAAATTGGTACTTTACGTTTGAGCCCCTTATCATTTCCATCTCAGGCAAGTCTTTTTTCCAGGAGCTAAAGGTAGTGGTAGGCTTAGCTAATAAACTAACATGGGAAGGTAAACCAGTTGTTAGCGGTTCACCACCCAACTTGGGACACATTAGCCATCTAGCAGTTACTTCTCCCTAATGACTGAAAAATTATGTTGGAAGAAATACAGTCCAAAACATGAGAGAAAAGTCTTAATTGAGCTTTGTTGCAGAGCTGGACAGAGAAAAAATGTGAAACTGAATTAAATTCATGGCATGTAGGAAAAACAATCTATTCCATGAGACAACATTTCTCCTCTTGGGAACCTCCTATATTAGTTAAACCCAGAAGAAAGTAGCAACCATGTTTGCCCAAGCCTGTTCCACAATACACTGGTCCCAAAATAAACTCCATGAGGAAAAAAAGGGGTTCCATGTACAAAAAAGTTAGAATAAAATTATATACTGCTGGGCTCGGTGGCTCAGCCTGTAATCCCGCGCCTTTGGGAGGCTGAGGTGAGTGGATTGCCTGAGCCTGCGGGTTCGAGACCTGCCTGGGCAGCGAGACCTCATCTCTACAATAAATCAAAAAATCAGTCGGGCGTGGTAGCGCATGCCTGTAATTCCGGCTACTCAGAAGGCTGAGGTGGAAGGATCACTGGAGCCCAGCAGGTCAAGGCTGCGGTGGCCAGGAGCGTCCACCACACTCCAGTCTAGGCGACAGAGTGAGACTCCAGCTCAAAAAAAAAAAAAAAAAATTATATACTAACTTGCCCCTTGGAGAGTCACAAAAAGTTAAGAAACACCTCGAGCATGATCTAAGCTAACAGATCCCAAGCTTATTTGCCCACAATACCCTTTGGTCCTTGAGGCAACATATAACATCCCATGGAACTAGTGTTCTGCGGAGTATACTGCTTGGACCCTCGAAACTGCTACCAGGGGCAGACAGGCATCCAGAACAGTCAGTTCTTGCTTTCTATTATTCCTCTTTAGAGAGATTATAAAAAAAGCATAAAGCTCAACTGTTTACTAAGAACTTAATCAGTACGGTCTTATTTATCTTGCAGAAAAATGCCAGAGTTATAAAGAATATAAGTTCTATCTCAGCACTTTGGGAGGCAGAGGCAAGAGGATTGCCTGAGCTCAGGGGTTCGAGACCAGCCTGGGCAACATGGTGAGACCTCATCTCTACAATAAATTTGAAAAGTCAGCTGGGCATGGTAGCGCATGCCTGGGGTTCCAGCTACTTGGAAGGCTGAGGCAGAAGGATTGCCTGAGTCCAGCAGGACAAGGCTGCAGCGGCCATGAGCGTGCCACTGCACTCCAACTTAGATGACTGAGTGAGACTCCAACTCAAAAAATAAAAATAAATAAAGAATACAAGTTCTTGCACTTCAGCTAAAAGAATACAAGTTTGCCCTGAATCCCACTGAGAGCAAAACAGTTTCCCAGTTAAGGAAAAGCACAGGTCAAGTTAATTTACACATGCCTGTGCCAACTCTAGTCTTAGACTGGGTTAAGGGCCTCCAGAAAATCACAGGCAGACTTTATTTTTACTTCAACATAGGCCATGGATCACAGGAGCTCCGGAGCCAAACAGACCAGGGTTTGAATCTCCAGTCTGCCTCTGATGATAAGTCAAGTGAGCACGAGCCTTGGTCTTTCCTCGGTAAAATAGACATTAGACACTACTTTGGGGGATAAAGATTGAAGATAATGAATTTAATGTGTCTGGCACAGAGTAATTGTCCAATAAAAAGACACTCTGTATTCATATTATCTTTCTTTGTCCTCAATTGAAAACACTTGAGGCAAATATAAAACAAATCCTAGCCGGGCTTGGTGGCTCAACCTGTAATCCTGCGCCTTTGGGAGGCTGAAGTGAGTGGATTGCCTGAGCCCGCGGGTTCGAGACCCGCCTGGGCAACTTGGCA